GCAAAAGGACACTCGTTCCAAGTCTGCAACAGCCCAGGCCAACCAAAGAAGACTCTACATCTAATATCAAATGAGTTAATTCTTTTTGGAGGGGTGTAAAAATATTTAAATGGGTATCATGTGGACAAGAATTTTTATACACTATACAATAGAAATCTCTAGGCGTTCATAAGCATACGCGGGATCCTTTTCCTTTCACTCCTAGGGTCTCTATACTGGGACCGGGAATCATGAACTTCTCGATCAATCTGACAGATACTTGGTCGTGCAGCTCTTTTCTGTTTGTATACATCCCATTTGTCATGTAAATAAGTGTTCATATATGAGATACATGTGTGTTTGTATGTGAACGACAGGTATCCGAGGCACACGATGTTGTCCTACTTTGTGTTGCAATTCTGAAGCAGGATAAGGTCTTGCGTTGATCTAGGAAAGCTCTATTATAAACCTGTTATTATATTTCGATGTCTTGATCACATCAGGAGCTAATAGAATAATTAAATATTACAATCGCGTAGTCATCTAGCAATTTAAACTTTGAAATAATTAACAATGGTCTCACAAAATCTCACATAATATCAGGGTAGGAAGTTATGAATTTAGATCTTTCAAGGCTCTTATTTGCCTCCCCCAATTATAAATTTTCATACTTAGTTATAAGCAAAAAGATCAGACTAAGTATAAGGCGCCTTCATCTAACAGTTTAAGCTTGCATAATAGTTGGCGGTGGTCTCATAAAATCTCACAGAGGCAAAGGCAAACATTACACGAAATTGTTCTTGTCCTATGTTTTCAACTGAAAAGAACAAAACCCTAACATATGATCAAGTGAGTACATCTTTTGCTATGATGCAAGCACGCTTAATAACTCAATAATCATATCAATAGGTCTCGATTAGATGAGGGTTTTGCCCCAAGTTTTCGATAATCCACATGGGGTACGGCATGAAAAACGCATCGTCGATCTATTCATCACGGGAAAGCAATTTAGCTTAGGATTAGTGCCGCGAACTACTTCTTGTTGGTATGTGAAGTTCAACATGGAAAGGCAACTGCGATTGACTCATTAACACTATAAATTCACTCTAAGATGGATACACGGAACTCTCTTTCGTTGCCTTACAACGGTTCTTATTGCTTAATAAGATATTAATTTGTGAATCACTTACTTACTACGGAAGCAATCGTGTTTTAATAATAAGGGCAATTAAAGCCCTAACAAGTCCAAACATGCGGTTGCTTTCAAAGAGATCAACCTCAGGGGTCTCGCAGTGTGTGTGCGCGCGTGTTTTCGTTCCATGAAGTGATTGAGTAAATTGAAAGCATGATGTAGAAATCTATGAGGTGATCAATAGTTTTTACCACAATATTATTGTCGAACATTGACGTTAGGTCGACCGCGCGACTAGTATAGTGAACGAGTCGTTATTTTACCCTCAGTTTTACGTGAGGATTAACTAATTGTTCTCCTAACTTGTGATCTTGGCTTGAGGGCTTAAACTGGTTTTATTAAAAGACTAAGCATTAAATGAAGTCATCGTGCTTAGAATAGGCCCGAGCATTTGAGAAAGTACATACAGTCATGAGCCAACTTAGTTTTATGAATAGTAATTTTCTGCTCTAAGATCATTATTATAAGGTTAATACCACGAAAAGCCTCAAATCGGTACACCTGTGATAAATTTATCCCAAACTAATTTTTTGATCATAAAAAATTTCAAACTGGTACACTTGTGACAAATTTACCATTCGTTAGTTTCCGTTAAATTTTACCATCAAATTGCTGAGTTGGATGATATGTGGCAGTTGATGAATGTACTAGTTTATGGTTTTATCCCTTTACTTGTCACATGTTTACCAATTTGTGATTTTTGTTGTATTAATCCAAACAATCGGAGGGTAAATTTGTCATGAGTGTATCAATTTGAAATTTTTCGTGATATTAATGTTCATTATAATTATTTAAATATGTTAACGATGCGGTTAGCATATCTTCATGAGTCGCCAATTGTAGCAGTTTTAGTACTCCTAAGAGCAGAGATACTATTAACTTTGTTCTTGGGGCTCTAGTCGAGACAATGTACACAGAATTTCAAGCTCCACTAATTAATTAGGAGGGAAAATCGAAAAATATTTTAAAATTTTTCCAAACCCACAATCGAATTTTTCTCAACGAGTGCATGGGCATGAAGCCCTGTAAATTTGCTAAAATTCTGGGGGACATGACTCTGTGGAAGAGGTCAACCTTACACTCGGAAAGAGGACACAAAGCTTCAATTTGAAGCAATTGACTCATTTCCCAACTTGGGTTGCACGCATGGATGGTTAGTGGTCACCGCAGAGTCCGATGTGAAGCGAGAACAGACAGAAAATTTGTATTAAACAAGGTTGCCCCAACATTATTTTTTTGGGGGGGAATTTCACTGAATTTGGTGCTCCCAGTCGGCCATTTTGACTCGAGAACTATTTGTTATGGCTTATCTATCTGTTATCCCTATAGCAGACATGGTTTAGCAAACTTAGGAAGAAACACATTGACATTTTATTGTTAGACTAGATCCGGCTAATCGAGTATCGAGTTATTGCGCAACTCGTATCAAGCCTCCCGGAGAATGTCCTGTCGTATTTATTGTCAAGCGTTGAGTAATTTTCATCGCTTCATTTGTTAAATGAGTTTAAATGATATCCTTTCGAAAATGTTATTATGTTAGTTTAACTTATAAAGGGAGAGTGACGTAACGGGTTGTTCATAATGAATCTATCAGATTGTTAGGGTACTTAGATGATTTGGGGATCCCGGCTCTTACTACCGAGTTACGAATATGAGGGAGAGCAAAAATACACAAAAGAAAGACTACATGAGCCAAAGAGATCGAACCTGCTGGTAATTGATAGGGTTTGTATGGAAGAATAATCCAATAACCTAAACATCGGAACAACGCTATTTGAGCACAAGCTTTATCCATTTCATATCGACCATGTCAGCATTGTGAGATCATGTAATCACAATTGGTGGAACGATCAAATTGCAAAAAAGATAAGCTAGCACGACGGTTGTTAATCATACTCGATCAAGAAATATTTTTAGTTTCGATGTACTAATTACACAAGTCACGAGAAGATCGGTGCACTGAAATTTGCAAAGCTTTTTCTTATTTGAGTATTTGACAAGGGTTTTTAAAGCACTCATCAACAAATTCTACCGAAAAATGCAAGTTAGGGTATCATATGTTAGCAACCCCCGATTTTTCTCAATTTGGACTCGAAATTCATTAACCATACGAATTGCCCGTAAAATATCCTTTTAGGTTATAATAAGTGGCTTTGCTCATACGTATGTAATGAAGCCTTGTAGAGCTAAAAAAGAAAATATACATTAGGCTTCTTGGACTAGGTTTGTTGCCTCTAAAGCACTTACCAACTAATGTTTGTAATAATCCTTTTGATTGGCCCGCCACGTCAGCAATTTCTTGCCAAAGTTAGTCGGAAGATTACATCAATAATTTGTTAAAAGGTTTATGACTAAATTGACATAATTGAAAGGATTGGGATTAAATTGGCCGTCGTATAGTAGACTTACGATTTTTTGGACAATTTTCCCCTCTTGAGGATGGACCATCCACAAAAAAGAGAGTATGTATTCTAGGAATTGCAAGGGAATATTCATCTTCAAAAGACAAACAATGTTGTTGGCCAAACATAGACAAAACCTAATGCAAATGTCGTTGGTGTGAACATAGGCAACTCATTTTGACCAAAAAAAATAACATAGCCAATTCATTTGATTGTCGAAGCAGGCCCCGACAGAATTTTGTTTTTCAATTGCAGTCAATGTGGCAGTATATATCCTTCTCCCATTATTCACGTTTGGGAGGAAAAACGAAAATAAAAACTTCAGGCAATTTTATTCATGTGAAGTGTGTAATTCTTTGGTGTTTATGCAACAAATATCAAATATATAATTTAGGGTTTGCAGGTGAAGTAATAGATGTGCAAGTAGCTCAACCAAATTAAGCTCTCCTTTTTTTCTTTCCAGCTAGGGTTTGGTGAACAGCCTACAATTTTACCCATTGAGCAGCCCTAAGCGAAATTGTTTGCCTAACACTGTTTCTGTCTTGGCCATTGGAGAAACAAGAGTGCTCTAGCTTCATGGTCTAAGAATTATACTTAGAAAACGATTAAAACTCCTAATATACGAAGAAAACGATATGAAAAGGCAATACAAGATATGGAATATGAAATATCTCGATCTCGATATTTCTCCGCAATTTCAAACTCTCCAAAATAGTGAGTACATGTAATATAGAGAAGTCATGTCATGGTAAAGCTTCAATGCCTTCTATTAAACCTATTGCTTCGAACTGGAGCGAATGAAATCAATGGCGTAATTAAAAATTAAATTAGTCAAAGGCTCAAGAGTCCAACTTGATCAGAGAGAGCTGGTCCAAGTTAAGCTATGTACTAAAAAAGAGGTCATGGGGGGTGTGTCCTTTCAAAGGGTCAAAAACTTTGATTACATGAGGTTGGCCCACTAGGGATAATCAAGCTTAATCAATTATTATCTTTCTGTTAGATGGAAAAAATAATGAATTGTTTAAGAAATCCAAAATAATATACACGTTCAGCGACGGGTCACGTGTTCATATCTGGCATTTTACAGAATATGATGAGGAATAGAAGGTCTAAGAAGAATGGAATAGAAATTTGGGATCAGGAGGACACCCAATAATCAAATCTTTGGTAGAATATTCTAATGAAAATCTCATCTTTGATTATTTATGTATCTTTGGGCTCTCTGTGCGGGTGTGTGTTGGAAGTTGATCCTGCCAACGTATAGCTAAACAAGAAACTGTTCAAGAATGAATAGTTTAATATAGCATGGAAAACTATTACCTTGGCATTATGCGTTGTCATTTAGTCCCTGATTTGAAGATAAAGTTGGCATGAATCCCCCCCATGAGAGAGAGCAAAAAGCTTAGGCAATACAATAGTATGAACAAACACTTCCCATTTTTGTAGTCACTCAAGATCCTTAATTTGGATTTAAACACCACGAAAGATGGTGTGGGTGGGTTCAAGAGAGCCTTATTTCTTGACCTGTGCTGAGAGCTTAAAGCTTGAGCTTCTGCTCCTCCAACCAAGTCATCGTTATCCCCACTCCTACAGAGTCTCCCACTGACAATCTCCCCCTCAAGAATCGCCTCAAGCTCCGGAAGCAAAGACCCTTTTCGTTTAAGAGGCATATAATATGTTTTAAGCGCTCTGAAGGGTGTTGTTTTGAGTTCTTTTCACGCGAGTGATAGAGACAGAGACCTGTCAGTTGGTACTAGCGGAGTTCAGCTAGTTTCGGCTGAAAGCAGCTTCTGGGTTTTCTGGTTTCTTGGAGGCTGCAAGAACAGATTTTTTTTTAGTGTTCGAGGGAGAGAGAGAAATGGAGGACAAGAGTGATGCAGAGAAGGTTGATGATGTGATGCTGCCTGGGTTCAGGTTTCATCCCACTGATGAAGAGCTCGTTGGGTTCTATCTCAGGAGGAAGATTCAGCAGCGGTCACTCCCCATTGAGCTCATCAAGCAAGTTGACATCTACAAATATGATCCTTGGGATCTTCCAAGTAAGAACAGAAAAAGTTATCGGTCCGATCCATTATGATATTGCTTCATGGCCTGAAAGTCTCCTCTCCTTTTGGTGCTTCTTTAGTGTGTATAATAGGGGGAGTGTGCATGCATGGGATGAAGAAAAAGACCATATTCTTCGTGCTCTTTGGTTTTGGTTTGATGTTTTTTATTATCTGTCAAAATCATTTGAAGCTTATCCTATCTTTTTTCTCGAAGTGACTATGTTAATTATATTGCCCTCTCACATCATATATGTCAAGCAATATGGCAGTGTTCACATACCAGAAGCAATCTTGCTATTTTTGGCTGCTTCTTTTTGGTATGTTTTCATACTTAACGAAGTTTCAACATCAAGATTGCTATGTTCGCGCTACTAAGCCATACTTATCTATGAATCATTTGTCCAAAGTTTATATTCTTCCAGATATCTTTTTCCACATTCCAGGATTACCATTCTTGCTGAATTACCTGTTAATACCAAATAATTTTGATGCATTTTAACACTTTCTGAGGTTGGTTCTCCTGTAGTAGTTAAGCTTAAGCAGTGTTTTTCTGGCTTGGCTTGTCAACTTTCTTGAAGCAGAATTGGCAACTACTGGTGAGAAAGAGTGGTACTTCTACTGCCCCAGAGACCGCAAATACAGGAACAGCGCGCGTCCAAACAGGGTCACTGGATCCGGGTTCTGGAAGGCGACCGGGACTGACCGGCCTATCTACTCCTCCGATGGTACCAACTGCATCGGCCTCAAGAAGTCCCTCGTGTTCTACAGAGGCCGAGCTGCCAAAGGCATGAAAACAGACTGGATGATGCATGAGTTCCGCCTCCCTTCCATTGCCGACTCAGCTCCTCCTAAGAAGTTCTTGGACAAGAACATTCCTCCAAATGTATATACACCAAAACCTATCACAGTTTCACCATCCTCATTTTTAAATTAAAACTGAAAAATTAACGAGTACAAATCTTGGAACTGCAGGACTCATGGGCTATCTGTAGGATATTCAAGAAAACCAATTCCATGGCACAGAGAGCTCTATCACACTCCTGGGTCACTCAAATACCTGAACCTATCGGATCTGATCTGCTCGGCCATGGTGCGCAGTACTCTCACTTCAGCTCAGAGAATATTTCCTGCACCACAGAGATTGGATCGGCCATCCACCATCCAACTTCTGCTAGCTTCAATTCCATGGACGTTCAATCCTACAGGCCCATGTTATACCCGCCGGTCTCTAAAGCCTCAACTCTCACCATCTCAAATGGCGATCTCCCGAGCGCCTTCGTCTTCTCACCCCTTGATGTGCCACCAGGACCCACCAAGTGCATGGCTGACACATCCTCAATGCTCATGTGCCCTTCCTTGATGGGCGGAGATGTCAACAAGGCCTCCGAGAGCATAAGCTTCGAAGGGTCGCATCAATTCAGTGGCTTCTCAATAGGTCTGCCCCAGGAGATGCAAGGAAACGTTGGTGGTGAAGAGGAGGCAGCCGGACTGAAGAAGAATTCTGGTATGGTCCATGTGAATAACCAGTGGCCAGTGACCACACGATCGATGGGCTTTCCCTTCAGCTTGCCATCTAACATGCCCTGGGACTCGCCTCCGTGTCCTAGTGAGATGTCCACTGCTTTCTCGACGAACAAATGCTACAATTGATTGATCGGGAGGAGCATTATACGTAGAGATAGCTGCTTTTTTCGTGTTTGGGGCAAATGCTTTGGAGCTTATCTCAGGAATATCATCCATCATTGCTGTTTTATGTACAGTGTCTTAGGCTCCTGTTACACTTGTTAGCGTCATTATTTTCCAAGTAATGTGTTTTAAAGTCTTCTGCTCTTTGTTATCTCCTTCTGTTACACTTTGCTCCGTTTCAGAAGACGAGCAACTTTAGAAGAGAAGTAAACCGTGAAGAACCAAAAACAAAGTATTAAGGGAAGTAAACTATCAGAAAATCGCGCATTCAAACTCCTCTTTTGAGCATTCAGGGCGGACATACAGATATCGACTTTTCTAATTCCAGATATAACAATTAATGAATAGATATATAAGTTCGTACATGTGTTGTTGAGAGGACAGATCGAATAAAAGATGAAATTAAGAGAACCTTAGCACACTGACGTTAGCTTGGTCCTCCATAAGCATTACCTAACTTACTAGGGAAAGAGAGGAAGTGAAATTTGAGGCAGAGGGTATGATCCATGCCTGCAAAAATTCATTTAATAGAAAGGCATCAAAGAAGTTCCGGTAATAGCCATGCCAATAGTATTTATGAGAACGAGCAGCATGCAGCATGCATGACTGAAGTTTATCAGAAAAAGTTCATTACTCATCAAGTGACTGCTTAGCTGCACGACGGACAAGGGGCGAGAGTATGACCAGAACTAAATAAGTTCCTTGTCAGAGAAGAAGAGCATGGTTAGATCAAATGGCCGAGGAAATCGAAAAGCGATGTGTCGTGGCTATGCAGCATCAAATATGGACTTTGTGCTGCCATATTTGAAGCTGCTATCGACTGACAATACAATTCTCTAGCTAAGGTTACAATGCTGCATACTGCTGGATACAGACTGTGGGTCTAAACTTTAACACTACATTAGAGGAGACTAATATACTCCATCAACATAAAATCCAACCTATAAAATCTGTTGATATTACTTGAGCTACTTGTACTCGAATTTGAGCGCAAAGAAAAAAAAAAGGAAAAATTTGAATCAAGTGAAAAAGGTTTCCTGGTCGAGCTTGAATACACACTGAGTGACTTCGACCATGTATGATTATTGTCCTATATACAACAGTTCTTTTTGGAAGCCGAAAGCCTTGGCAAGAATCATGATCAAACTGTTCCGTCTAGCAACTCAAGAGCATAGTCATTTTTCACTCAAGACCTAATCCAATTACCAGATAATTCACCTTTCCAATAGAAAAAGGCTGACTCTGAACGACCTGCTTTGGACAGAAGAAGATTATAGCTTTGTGTTTTTTCCTTTGGGGGGGACAGTGAAGCTTCCTACAGGTGAAACTCAATTTGAGAAGACAAGGTCCCAAAAGCATGCCGATTTTGACCAAATATTTTTCTCTCAATAGAAAGAATTTCCTTTCTAATTGCCCTTTACAGAAGCTGTACATGGGGTAAAAAAAATCTCAAGAACATTCTTCTAACTTGTGCCCAACTAATATCAGAGATCTAGCTACAAAAGTGGTAAAATTGCTATGCTTCTATATATATCAACATGGGAAAAGCGAAAACGAGGGCTCTATGTGTAGTTTCCGGTGAACGAACACGATCTTGCTCAACTTGCTGCTACACCAAGTCAATTGGTCAGTCGTTAATCTCGACATGCTCAACGCTCTCCTCACCAGCTTCATGTCCACTTGAGAAAAAAAGCACAGGACTTGGTCCGAGGTCTCTTCTTGATGCTTTTTAAACTTTCGCAATATGCAATTTCCACCCTTCAAGAGCTCTTTCAGTTTCTTCTCTTTCTGAGTTCAGTAAATTCCAAATTAGAAAACAACAATGCTGTTGGATGAAATTGGGGGGGGCGGGGGAAACAAGAATCTACAAGACTGCAAAAATGCGTAAATGCCTAACCTTTTGAAGCATCGCTTGGACCTGTGTCAACAATTCCAAATCCGCAGGATTCTGAAGTTCCGGTTGGCTTCTCTTTCGATTCTTTTGAGCAGCAGTGCTCGAGTCTTTGTCTGCTCGGATAAATCCCCAAAATATTCTTATAGACTCTTCTAAGATCTCTATCAGCTCGTCGCTATGGATGGTGTAGTCACTTTTCCCTTTTAATCTCGCCATCCTTTTGTTTTTCAAACTGTCCTCTGCATTTCAAAATTAGCTTCTAGTAAGTATTATTCCCCTGTATCGAGAAACCAACTATTTCAAACAAAATTATCTTCAAAATGGATATATAATAACAAAAGTAGCTATTGCTGACCTCTAATTACAGGGACCTGCAGGAGATTGCGCAGAAGGCATCGAGTCTTGATGTAATATTGCACCCTTGGGCCTTCAAATTGTTCGTTCTCCAGAAATCTCTGCATGAGCACTTGTAACTGTTGAAATTCTCCAGCGACTTCATTGTATCGGCGCAGATTATACTGGTCCGAGTCCCATAGCTCTAGAGCCCTCACATATTGCCAGTGAAGAAATTCCCAAGAGAGGCACATTTGCCCAACATACACTATCTCCAAATCGCTATGCAGTTCCCTAATGAACTTCATAGTCGGGTCATTTTCGGATTTCTTCTCCCTGCACAACTTAAAGCTCAGCGACAGAAGGGACGTGATCGCTGGGCCCGTAGATTTGTGGCTCGAGAGCGACTTAAGCGGGTCCTTTGACCGGAGAAAACCTGCAGAATGCGTCAAACATTGATCGACTATGAGCGCGTCAAACAATAAAGAAGACCAGACAGTGGAATAGGCTGATGAATAAAAACTCGTCCTAGGAAAAGAGAAGTCGGACTTTTGAACGGTTCTGGCCGTAAAAGTCATTCATTCGACATGGGAACTTTTTAGAAACCTTTGAATTGTGCAAGTTAATTTAAGGAGCAGAGGAGAGAAAAATCCACTCCACAATAGAAAAAGCAGTTCCCCATGAGATGGTCCAAAGCAGAAAACTTTCAGGTGGGTTTAATTTCAATGGAGCAGATTGATGTGCACCTCTAACTAACCTCAATTTGTTTATGCAAAAAGAAATAGAAAAGATCGAGAATAGCTCTCACTCCTTGAACATGAAATGGTGCGTGTTACTCACAGGTCTCTAAAGCAAAGCTATTGCATCGAGCTCATACGAAAAATTATTAGCTTTTGGGGCAGGAAGATCGACTGGCATATGACAGAAAGACAATCGGATCTGATGGGCCAATGAGTGCTCTCATACTGATGGTATGCATGTGCAGGGGTTTCTAACAAATGCAAAAAAAATGAATTCCTTTTCATCGTACCTACATAACGTGACTATCATCATAATGTCTGTGATCCGAAAGGTCTCGTGCTTTTCCCAGTGCCCCAACTAATAACTAATCAGATCAAGTGGGTCCTTCTCAATATTATAGCTTGTATTAGACTTCTGAACGTTGGTTGAGAGGGTAATTCATGCCAATTGATTGAAAATGGACTAAATCGGTGGCAAGGTTTTGCCCCACTGTTATGATCACACACTTTCTCAGAATCAACCCAGCTATGATACCTTTGTGAAACTAGAGGCTTTATACCCAGAGGAAAATGAAATCTCAAGATGGTTACTATTGAAGGAGTCGCTGACTGACCTAGTGCGTACATCTTCTGGTAATTTAAGATGTCGAGCTTGCGCATGCGCTCACGGTAGCTCCGGTAAATCTTGTGGAGCTCGCCCATCTTCTCTTCGCGCTGGAACTTGTCGTCGATCTTCCACGGCTTCAAGTCCTCCGTGATTTTGGGGGACTCGCAGTCTTCGAGGATCGTGGGCAGGCCAGTGGCTCTCACCTTCTTCAGCTCCATCCTGAGCTGCTCTATCAAGTCTTGATGCTCCCACAAGAGGTCACAGCTCGAGCCCTCGCCGTCCAATTCAGAGTTGTCCTCTGAACCGGGTTTGTCATAGCCCTTATCCTCTGCGCCCTCTTTGCCTTCGAATTCTTCAAGCTTGGGACTTTCACGGTCCTTGTCATGTGATTGTTTCTCCGACCGTTCGAGTTCTTCGACCTCTTTCATGATGCTCTCATCGTCTTCGTCATTGGCAACGTTCACATCTTGATGCTCATGAAACTCATCGAGATCTCTCTCTGAAAAGAAATCATCGCTGTTGGAATCCAATAAGCGGCTCATGATCGAGAAATCATGGCTCGAGCTCATGGAGTCTGAGTCCGTGTCCGAAAAGAGCAAGTCTCTCTCTAAAAGGAGCTGGAATTTCTCAGAAGCATCTTTATCATCAATCAAATTGCTCTTGAGCTTCTTTAGCACTTCTTCCTGCGAAAAAAGGCCCTCCTTGATCCATGCTCTGTTTTCCGTGTTGACGTTCTCTTGCGCAAGATCAGATTTTTCTTCATGAACAAATTCTGGTTCCTCTAGCTCTTTGACAGCGCCTTTTCTGGACGAAAACTCGAACGCCCAATTGAATTTGTCAGAAAAAGAATCTATTCTGGAATCAATTCTCGAGTCCTCCACAGGGGAACTCAAATCCTCTGTTTCCTCTCTGAAATTCCTCTTGGAAAGCGATTCAGATAGGAAATTCTGTTCCCGGAAAGTGGAATCATCGCCACTTGCGCTGTCCTTGGCGAATTCTTCAAAAGTCCGAAACTTGAATGACAAGAACTTCGGTGGGCTTTCATCGGTAACTTTATCAAACAACGAACCCTCGCATTCGGCAACATCATCCGCTGCTTCCTCTGGCCCTGAACAAATTGGGCTATTATCTTCCTGCACATGAGTGGCGGCAGCAATTGATCCTCCGGTATCTGGATTTTCATTCAATTTCTTGCGAGGGATCCCGTGTTCTCCGTGTCTGACAAGTAACAACGAATAAACAAAAACAGAGTTAGACAGACTACACCCAGAATTGGGAAACCATAAAACTCACACAACTTTGTTACCTCAGGAACTTGTTGACAACGCAGAACAGAGTACTGAACAGAGACGCGAAGGAGACCCAGAAAGACCCAGCAAACAGAACCAGATTCCGGCACACAGCCCCGTTTCGATGACCCATCCTCACCAAATTAAATGGGTTGTTGAGACGAACCCTCCATGGTGAGCCCATCAATTTAACCCATCGCCCGCGATCTTTTTATTCAGCTCGAAGCAAAAGCAGAGCATGATTGAGCGCGAGAGCCGCGTTCAACGGAACTCTCGATGACAGGCGCTGAAAAATCTCCACAGGCGGAATGGGACCTCCCACCGGTGACAACAGAGAGAACTAAACCCGCTGGGAAGAAATTCAACGCCTTTGGCATGCAGTTTCCGATTCACAGAGGTTGAGAGCTCACCTAATCAAGATGGGGTGGGAGACACATGAGAGGCGAGGATTAGAAAGGGGAGAAAAGAACGTGTCAGCGGCTTCTGGGATGTGCGCAAATCCTCGGTTGGGTTGCTTAGAGAGAGCCATGGGATCCTCCAGCACCGTCCTGTCTCGTTGCGCACAGAGAGAGGGAAGATTTTTATCAGTTGAGAGGTCTGCTGTTGCCTAGAGAGAGAGAGAGAGACAGAGAGCGATGTGGTTAAGATGGAAAGTTTACGTCTTTGATTTTTCGTATCCGGTTTGATAGCACAGAGGTGGGGGGAGATTCTCGGACGAGCAAGATCGCTATTATGAGCAGCAAGAATATTTCAAAGCGGGTCGACGAGTGACCTCAACAAACCGGGATGCAGAGGAGTCTAGTCGGTCAATTTAATAGGAACACGCGCAAGGAAACTGACTGTATTTCCTTTTTTCTTATGTTTCTTGGTAGACATCTAGAACTTCCATTTAGATTAGTATATGGATGGGATATTGAATATGGTTCATCCATTTGTAGCCCGAGACATTACATACACACACGAAATGAACAGATCGGTCTTTTGCATAAATAGCATTATTCGGGTCAGTAAATTTACGAACCGCGTTCCACAAACCGGGAAAGAGATAAACACGGCGTAATGAGCATCCGTCCCTCTCTGTTTTGCTTCTTTTTTTGGCTTGAGCACAACTGGTAAGGTGGAGAAGGGAATATCGATTTATTAGTCGAGAAGCTAATACGCTCTCGAATCATTACCCGCAAGGCAATCGCGTGATTATTATTAATACATCGGGCGAAATGATCTCGTATCAAAGCCGTTACTTAGATTTCAAAACCGCATGCTAATCTTTAAAGGGCTATATTACGGACGTCGTCACGTGTCAAGGTGGATGATGTCCACAGTCGTGGCTCAGACGGCTAAACGAAGTTCCCTCTGGCCACGGCCATACCGACGGAGAGAAACACGGCCTCAGCGTGTTTCATTGATTTTTTATGTTGCGTGATTTAAAGGTGGATCTTCCGATGACATTAGCGAAAGGAAGAGAAGAAGGGAATTGCTGCGAACGCCACGAGGGAGCACGACTTTTTGTGTTTTCAGACCAATGCCGAACAGCTTGGAAGAGACAACAACATGGTTTTCAGACCAGCTAAGGAAAGGCATGAGGAAACGAAACTTCCGTGCGAAGTCTCATGCAGATTAGGACCTCCACTGTCATACCTGCTTTTTAATTTTTCCAAGCGCGTTGTGGAGATTGGAAAGGAGCTGCGTCCCACCCATTGGGTAGTTCCTCTCGTCACAATAACATTGATTTCACCTAAAGGAAAAGATGCATTTAATCCACTGGGAAGTTCCTCTCGTCACAATAACATTGATTTCACCTAAAGGAAAAGATGCATTTAATACATGGAGAAAAAGCAAAACCCTAAACAGGGTAATAATGACAAGAATCCTACACGGATCCACGTCCTCGGAAGTAAAAGGACAGATTGACTTTTGGGAAGAATTGCTCCTAAGAAAATGTATGCACGAATTCGGCTTTGCGCCCCCCTTAACTTACTTTTTACTGTCTGATTTCCCATATGAAAAAGAATTTCTTTCACTTTGCCCTTTCCAGACCTCCCCCCACGGACGGCGGCGTGCTCTCGCATTCGTCGCTTCATGTAGACCGCAAGCATCGAGGTTTTTACTATGAAGTCGTCGGACGACCCCTCTCTTATCTAATGTCATTTTCTCTATCCAATCGAAGCGATGTGTTCATTCCGCATGCGCGTTATTTGTCCGCATCTTCCTCATCCGTTCTAGACCCGAGTGATTGTATGAGACAAGTACGATACAATTCTTTTGTCGAAAGGAACAATTCTTCCTTACAATAATCGAGTTGCGCCCTGACCACCTAAAGTTAAAAGGACAATCAGATGCAGGGCCACAACATGAGATATAGTACAGATGAGAGAGTAGAGACCACATCTTTGAAGCATTCACCTAATTTTGAATCTTATTTCTTATCGGCAAATTCCTTAATAATCACTCCATGCTGCACAACCTTCCCTCCAACCTCCATTTTCCTATGCAAAGGCTATGCCCCATCTGCAAATTGAGCACTTATAATAACCAAGAATGGTCAAAAAAGAGATGAACAAGTCTATCAACTGCAGCAATATAAGTTCCCATTTTAAGCACAACTTGGCCCTATAAGACGCGAGACAGGTAGCAGGAATCAAGGATAGAAACCATTGAGAACCTTCTGGGTGACCCATTTGATTGAGTTATCAAACACTTGGAAAGATAATTAGATCTTCCAAAACCGACAGAGTGTAGGAAGGAACACGCACGCAGCTCATATTCTACACCTATCAATGCATCATCTTGCATATCATTGTCGTATACTACTGGTCAGGATCTTGACTCTTTGGTGGGACTATAAGCTCGCACTCGTTTGACTCGAGTCATGATGATTTTGATACGGATGAGTATTCTATGATGATGATGCTGGGCATTGCACGATGTCTCGTAGTACCTAATTGTTGGGGTGGATCCACTGATCAACTATTAGCTTTTATATCATTTGTTGGGAGTACGCAGCAGAAATCTAATATCTTCATCGGGGGAGATCACCAAGAGGGAGTCCAAATCTAAATCCGTCAACATATCCAGTTGAATCTATCTTTAGTCAAAAGCTTAAACCAATGAGTTATGAGTCAACTATGATATATTAATTGCTCTATACCATATCAATTCTTCGATGTAAGACTTCTCTAACGTAATTTAAGCATGCTACCTAACACTAATGATGTTGTATATCGAGCTTTCATTTCATTCACCTAATCATTCATTGGGTACGAGCTACTTAGCTATAACAAAAGATAAATGCAACACTCGGCTTTGACATCATCATGAGGTGAAGTATGCATGCATCTTCACGTTATGAGAAAACCCAGTTTTGCCGCGAAAATTATCAAAAAAGTCCTAAACCTTTTGTAATTGTGCCAATTCAGTCATAAACCTTTTTTTTGGCTAATTCAGTCCTAAACCTTTTGCAAACCAACCAATTCAGTCCTTTTGGCCGGCCGGCGCTGACGTGGCCGCCGGCTGGCTGACGTGGCGCCGGCGCGGCGTCCATGTGGCAATATTTTAATATTTTTATTATTATTTTCGAATTTTTTTCCTTTTTTCTTTTTTTTTTCTTTTCCTTCTCCCCCCTGGCCTGTCCGGCCAGGGGGGAGGCTCGCCGGCGAGGGCCCAGCTCCGGCGAGGCGAGCTGGGCCCTCGCTGCCTCTGAGCGAGGGCAAAGCTCGCCCAGCCAAGGCAAGCTCCGCCTCGCCGGAGCTGGACGAGCTCGCCAGATCTGGGCGAGGGCCCAGCTCGCCTCGCCGGAGCTGGGCCCTCGCCGGCGAGCCTCCCCCCTGGCCGGACAGGCCAGGGGGGAGAAGGAAAAGAAAAAAAAAAGAAAAAAGGAAAAAAAATTGAAAATAAAAATATATATATTAAAATATTGCCACGTAGACGCCGACCGGCGCCACGTCAGCCGGCCAGCGGCCACATCAGCGCCGGCCGACCAAAAGAACTGAATTGGCTAGTTTGCAAAAGGTTTAGGACTAAATTGGCCAAAAAAAAGGTTTATGATTGAATTGGCACAATTGCAAAAGGTTTAGGACTTTTTTGGTAATTTTCCCCGGTTTTGCCAATTCGTCTAAGTTTTCGTTTTCCTCTTGTTGATTGATTTGGATAGAGCGATGTTGATGGGGGTGTCCTCACTTGGGCTCCTTGCGGAGATATGCACCCCATTTGAGGACTTGGCTAAAATTAATGGTTAAAGTGAAGAAAATGGCGATTTAACATAAGCACTTTAATCAAACCCTAATCGCACTTCATTGACTTTTAGTTACCTAGGAGCGGATTTTTATTTTTTTGGTTGACAAGGAGATTCGATCTTCTTTTTTGTTTTACCTTATTATGAATAATTAACCACCCGCACTTTACCAAAAAAAAATAATTAACCACCCGCACCACCCGCCTGGGTGGCGCTGCTGGAAAGGGCACTCTTCCTCTCGCAAAAAATTGGGTGTTTGAATCCCGGGCGCCGCAGGGTGACTTAACCGGTGCACGTGTGTGGTGGCTAGCACGTGTTGCCCCCAGGGTTTACCTCCCGGCTGTCGGCCGTGCGGGGGTTCCCTGGGTTACCAAAAAAAAAAATAATAATAATAATTAACCACCCGCCTGGGTGGTGCTGCTGGAAAGAGCACTCTTTTTCTCGCAAAAGATTGAGTGTTCGAATTCCGGGCGCCGCAGGGTGACTTAACCGGTACACGTGTGTGGTGGCTAGCACGTGTCGCCCCCAGAGTTTACCTTCCGGCTGTCGACCGTGCGGGGTTCCCTGGATTACCAAAAAAAAAAATAATAATAATAATAATAATTACGTTATGATCTGTGATATGTTTGTTTTAACTTATAAAAAACAAAAAAGCAACTCTTTTGTTTCTCACCAATAAAATTATTAAATAATAATATATATGTGTTTGTGCGAAAAAATTATATGTGAATCTGCGTATCTGCATTTATATGTTGCTGAAAGTTAGTTGCTTGATATTAAAAAGAAGCCAAAATGCGTGCGCTACAAGATTTGACAAAAAAGCAAAGGTAACAAGCAAAAAACATTCCCGACAAGCCATTGTGCTGAGTTTGCTCGTATAAATTTTTTGGGCGAGATGGGTTAAAATTAGGATGAGGTTTCTAGTAGAATACTTGTTAGATTAACCGCCCTGGTAACAAAAATCTTTACGAACTCGTCATTAGATGATTGACATGTGTACTTGAAGAAAATAGTGTAGCTCAACTCTTTCATGCGCCAATCATACAACTGTGAATGTGGGTACATCAATACACTATAAGTGGACCAAATAAAAACCTTTGCCAATATCCTATTACATTATCTGGTAACGAACCAATATGATAACGGATACAACACATACCCGTCCTTCTATGTAATCCGAATGAAACAATTTAGGAGGGAGATTGTTAGATAAAGGCAATCTATGTATCTAATATCCTATTACATTATCTGGTAATGAACCGATATAATAACGACTGATACAACACATACCCGTCGTTCTATGTAATCCGAATGAAATGCTTTAGGAGGGAGATTGTTAGATAAAGACAATATTAACAATTCGGTATACAACCTATGTATCATAAAAAAAAAAAAGTTTACGTAGGACTGATGGTACCCGTTATCTTAATTGACAATGCCAATTCAAAATAATACATGTCATGCATCCAACACAGAATGTGCATGTACTACCTATATCATATGAAAGTAATTCCATGTTAATAATTTTGTCGAAAAGCGTCATCAAAGCACTTGTAAAATTTCTAAATGAAGAAAGTTTTTTTTACATGTTCTCGAGACATAGATGATTGCAATGTTTTGGAAATTGTTTACACCAA